AATTTTTATAACGTTTTAGACTTACTTCGTCAAAAACTGTTGGCTATCCAGCAGATCAATAAATGGTATAAACATTTAAATACATCTACACAAAAAGTAACACTAGACAAAGGACAACCAGTTTAAAAATTGTTTAGATGCTACATTGTCGGCAACGGTAGGAGACAGAATGGCTCTTTGTCGTTCAGATTTAAAGAAAATAAATGTTAAACTGACATCGGACATATAACAACTGAGATGGGCAATCACAATTATAGTAATTTGCATATTTCAAAAATTCTATTATAAACTGAACATTGACCAAAAATCCAACTGACCACTAATATAGCAGAAACCAACGGATAAAATATGTAATTATATTAATTATTATATGTAGACTGTATAATCCAGATCTTACACTCAAACATGTCATTGATAACATAGTGTGAATGTAAGAACTAGATATTAGAATGTAAAACAATACTTCTAAGATGACTTCATGCAACGCCACTGATAACCAGTAATTAATTCGGATAAATTCATCATCATCATCATCAGTAGGTCACTGAACGCATTCTAACAAACGATTTAAATGCCCTAGGGAATTATTTCCGAAAATGGAGATTGCAACCCAATCCAACTAAGACAGAAGTGTCCTGCTTCCATTTATATAACAAGATGGCCAACTATCAACCACAAATCAATTTTGGGGATAGACTCCTTAAATATAATAAACACCCAAAATACTTAGGTGTTACACTTGACAGAACGCTGAACTTTAAAGAGCATCTTACTAAGACTGCTGCAAAACTCCGAACTCGTAACAACATCCTGCAAAAGCTCTGCGGCACTACATGGGGCTCCTCAGCACCCACACTTAGATCGACAGCATTAGGACTGGTATACTCCGTAGCGGAATACTGTGCACCAGTATCTGCATATGTTTCAAACGCTTGTGACATATCGCCTTGTATTTGCACTCTGCAGATCACTTTACTCATAGTTGTTTTTACGAGCCTTATTAATTTATGGGGAATGTTAAGTTCATTCATGGCTTCGTATAATTTACCTCTTAGGACGCTATCATACGCTGACTTAAAGTCCACAAAGAGATGGAACGTGTCAATATTAAATTCATTGGTTTTTTCTAAGATTTGACGTAGTACAAAAATCTGGTCCATTGTTGACCTACCTGGCCTAAAACCGCTTTGATACTCACCAAGGATTTCTTCCACGTACGTACTTAAACGGCTGTACAGGGTGTTGGAGAATATTTTGTACATTGTATTCAGAAGAGTTATACCCCTATAATTTTTACATTCCAACAAATCTCCCTTTTTGTGCAGTGGACATATGATTCCAGTGCACCATTCCTCTGGCATTTGTTCTTCTTCCCAGACTTTGACTATTATGTTGTGAATTTGGTGCATAATGCTATTACCTCCATGTTTGATGAGCTCTGCGGGGATACAATCCACTCCTGGGGACTTGCTATTTTTGAGTCGTGTGATTGCGTCTTTCACTTCAAATATTGAAGGAGGTTCTACGTGAGTGTTATTTCTTGGTCTTTGGGGTGACGCATCATTTTCCACTTCGGTACCAAGTAGTTCTTTGAAGTGCTCAACCCATCTGCTTTGTACTGCGTCAGCGGTACTGACTATATGTCCATTTTTGTCTCTACACATCGTCAGCCGTGGTTTAAATTCTTTTCTTGTCTTATTTAGGATATTATAGAACTTTCTAGTTTCATTTTGCCCCTTTAATGATTGAAGCTCTTGCATAATCTGGTTTTCGAAGGTCCGCTTTTTCCTTCGATGTATGCGTTTTTCCTCCTTCCTAAGATCTTTGTACATTTGCTCCTTATCCCGTGTTCTTCTTTGTTGCATAAGTTTATATGCATAATTTTTTCTTTTAGTGATATCTTCACATTCATCGTCGAACCAACTGTTGCGTGGAGTGGATTCTTCTGGTCCTAGGACGTTGTTTGCCGCTTCCTTAATTGTTCTTCTACATATCCCATTGCTCGCTAGCTGTTAAATTCTCATCTGTTGTGCTTTCATGTTCAAGGTAACTTTAGTACCTTTCTAGTACACGGGGCTCTTTCAAGAGTTTTAAATTGTAGCGAGTACTTTTCTTACCCTTTTCTTTTTTGCATTTGAGATTCTTATTTTGCGCCTACTAAGAAGTGGTCTGAATCTATATTAGCTCCACGATAAGTACGTACATCCATTAGATTAGAGAAGTGCCTGGTTTCTATTAGGATGTGATCTATTTGATTTTTGGTTGTACGATCAGGCGACGTCCATGTTACTTTATGGATATTCTTATGGGGGAAGTAGGTACTTCCAACTACCATGCTCTTGGATGCTGCAAATCCTATTATTCTATTTCCATTGTCGTTGGTGACGTCATGAGCGCTGCATTTTCCGATGTATGGACTATATATATTTTCTTTCCCTATTTTTGTATTAAGATCTCCAATTATGATCTTGATGTCGTTTCTGGGACATCTATCGTAGATGGTCTCTACTTCCTCATAAAATTGATCTTTGACATCCTCTTCTTTGTCTTCGGTTGGGGCATGTACATTTATGAGACTGATGTTAAAAAACTTACCTCTTATTCTTAGGTAACATATTCTTGGACTTATTGGTTTGAAGTCCATAATACGATGTTTTACTTTTTTGTTAAGAATGAATGCGGTCCCGAATTCGTGATTATTCTTGTGACAGCTGTAATATATATCGCATTGTCTCTTTTGGATAATTCCTTGGCCAGTCCATCTTACTTCTTGCACAGCAGTAATGTGTGCTTTATATTGAGTTAGTATGTCTATTAATTTTTTAAGATCTCCAGGTTCATAAAGTGTCCGCACATTCCACGTGTAAATTTTTAAATCTTTGTCCTTATTTCGTTGCATTGGTCGTCGTCGTAAGTTCCGTCCGGTTTCTTTAGCTGTAGATCTCGTAACGATATTTTTTTTACGGGGTAGAGTTGTTAGCCCTAAGCCCAACCTCCAACCTGGAGGGCCAGGGACTCTTGTGTTAGGATTACCATACCTTAGTCCGTTTTGGTTCACGGGTGGTATTTTATTTCCCATCTACCCGCCGGTCCTAGGACCGGTTAGGGCGTTCCCCTATCCACCACCTGGGGACGCGTCCGATGGGAGACAGACAACTCCACACGGAAATTCGGATAAATTGTGTAGGCCAAATATGAATTTTCTAAAAGGTATTATGAATTCGTCTATTGTTACAGCTGGTTCACTGTAAAAGACCGAATATTACCCATTAAAATGTACGAAGAGCTATCAAAATGTTATGAACCGATATTATTTTGATTTTCTTATAAATAAACGATGTATTTCATTTACACCTTGTTCAATTTGGATATCGTATTACATTTATTAGTCACCGTCCTTAATTACTTGTCAGAGTATAGATGCACATCTAAGTATAATAACGCTTAGATTAAATGTAAAACGTAATAAATGTTAAGAATTTGGCGGCACGATGTTGAATAAGACTGAGCATCTGGATTTACCGAGGTAGTAATTGAAAAGAACAAATTATGTAATAAATTAGCTTGGAGAGCGAGATCAAGTGAAAACGTGTGCGCTGGCTGTTGGTACGCAGAAGAGATGAGTCACTAGCGAGTGTTATTGTTCTAGCAACTAAATTAAGTTCTATAAAACGATTAAATTAGGATGAGCCAGTAAAGAAGGTTGCTGATGACCTAGGTGTTGGAAGTGACTGTGGGAGATTGGAGACGAAAACGAACAGATATTGAACAATGGGTTAATAAAAGTGTGAGTAATGGAAGTGTTTTGTTGTGGAAAAGTAAATTTTACTGCAAGTGATGGTTGCCTCGACAAATGGAAGAAGAGGTATGGCATACGACAACTGAACATTTCGAGTGACAAACTTTGGCCGATTCATTTGAAATTGAACCGTTTAATTTCAAATTTCATTTTAGAGCATGGTCTCATGTCAGACCAAATCTTTAATTTTGACGAAAGGGATCTCAATTTTAGAATACTTCCAACCAAAACACTGGCAGCCCAAAGTGAAAAAACTACACCTGGTTACAAAAACAGCAAACAACGAGTAACTCTTTTGATGTGGAGCAACTCTTCTGGATCCTTAAACTTAAGACCTCTACTTATTGGAAAATTTAAGAATCGCAGCGTCAAAATGAGGCCCGAAGTTAACTCAGAAATCTATCAAAGATTTTTTTATGAAGATTGCTTGCTCCTCAGAAATATAACAAAGAGTAGGAATGAGGCTCGAATCGCAACAGCTAAATTAATTAAAACATTTAAAGACCGAACAATATCAAGGAAGACCAAGCTTAGGTTGGTCAATGCCCTTATCTTTCCCGTTGCTAAGTACGCTGTTGAAACATGAACTCTAAAAAAATGGACAGACCAAATCGAAGACTCTGGTGCAAAACTCCTTATATGAAGCCGTCCATCTGGCATAGGATCGCAGCTAATGGAGGCAGCACGCTAAAAATATTTAATGTTTCACTACGCCCTGACAATCGCCCAAGGAATAAGGAAGACAGTGACATTAGAATTCGATATCTTCAAGAGTCTTCGAGCCACTTCATCTAGCAACGATCATTTTGAAAAACCTACAAGCGATTGGTCATTTCTTTTTTTTAGAACATTTCACAAATATTTTAATTATGGCCAATTGTTTTTATTAGACCATCTAGATTTTGACTTAGCTTTGTCTACGAAACCTTACTATTGTTATGTATGTCCATAAATAAAGGAATTCGATTTTTCCCTTATATTTTTTGTTAAAAATTTCGATAACGTATATGTATATATATTTCTGGTGCAAAACTAAAAACTATAACATACCTACTTCATTATATTTAATAAGCTACCATTTTGACACTTAGAGCTTGATCTTTAACAAAGGATAATTCATATTTGTCATATTGCTATCTTATATACAATTTTTATGGTTGCAGTTGCAAATATATTAAATTATTAAATAATATTATTTTAGGTCTCCCTGACTACGGTATTGAATCCTTTGATCCATTCTTTGCCAATGAAGTTCCGTATAAAAGCCGAAATCCACTGTTTAACATCAAACTGATTTTAAGAAATGTCACCGAAAGTGGATGGACATCATCGGAAGTTACCAAAATTAAGTAAGTATGCTTTTTGTTTCTTAATTGGCTAAAGCTACATTTTTATGCACAAATATCAGTCCACTGCAACTTATGTAAAAACATTTCAGATTAATTCTTACTTTACTTTAACCGAAAAAATATAGCAAGTATTTAAAAAAATTGTTCTTTAATATTACAAATTATTGTACTTGACTCCTTTTTCAATACACCTCAAAATTACTACCTACGACCAATATGTACAGTAAATCAAATAAATTACTAATAAGCTTACGAATTGGGGATACCAGGTTAAGAAATAACAGCAATTTCCAACAATGTTGAAAGAAGCTAAGGTTGTCCTTATCCCGAAGAGGAAGAGGTGCGATTTCGGCCAATTTGTCTTCTCAATTCGATAGCTAAATTGTACAAACAGCTTGTAAAAGACCGCCTTGAGCGAGATCTAGAAGAAAAGCATGCGGTGAGCGACCACCAACATGGTTTTAGGGCCAAAAGGTCCACCATAGATGCGGTCACAGAAGTAACCTCTTTAGTTACGCAGGATACATGGATGGCTCTCATCCTACTTGACGTCAAGAATGCCTTTAATTAACGGCATCGTGGGAAAAAATCATGTCCAGGATGAGAGAATTGGGCGTTAGTGAGTATCTGGTCAACGTAATTGACAGATACTTTACTTACAGGTCCATAAGTGAAAAAGATAGCAGCATCAGTATGTCGCAGGTTGTTCCGCAAGGTACAGTACTAGGTCCCATCCTGTGGAAGGTTCTGTACGATGAGGTATTGAGGCTACAGATGCCATGGGGCTGCACTCTTGTAGCTTATGCCGATGATCTCGCACTGGTTGCGAAGGCGAGTCAGACAACGGACGTGGCTAGTGCGGCTTACACAGCCGTGCGTCGCATTAGTAGATGAATCAGAGAGAATGATCTACAGCTATCGCCTCAGAAAACTGAGGTATTAGTTCTCAAAGGGAGCCGGGAAAAATTCTCTCTTCGCTTTATAGTGGAAGGTGTGGAGGTTGCACCAGTTAAATCGATTAAGAGTCTGGTTGTCGGAAGGACTAAGGTTCGGAGTACACATCCAAAAGACTGTAGAGAAGGCAAATCGAAATCTGGAGGCGTTGACCCGACAGATGCCAAACATTGGAGGCCCAGGTAGCATCAAAAGAAAGGTGCTAAATGGAGTTTTCCAGTCGGTGGTAACCTACGCTGAGTGTGGTGTAGCGTACTAAACACTGCGAAATACGCTAAGCTAATGAAGACTTTGCAACGGCGAATGCTCCTTAGCATATCTAGCACATATAGGAGAGTTTCAAATGAGGTTCGATATGTCATTGAAGCGGTGATACCGATTGTTTTGGTGTGCAAACAGCAAGCGAGGGTGTATATGAGCGAATGATAGGGGAAAGGCAAGGTGGACGAAGGAGCTTATTCCCGATCTGAGACCGTGATGGGAATGTAAGTTCAGGAAACTAGACTTCTTCATGACGCAGTTTTTGACCGGACATGGTACTTTTGGCACCTTCACAAATAGAATAGGTTAATCTGCCTCGGCAGACTGTACTGTGGGGTACCGGGTGCTCCTGTCCACATTTTTAACTTCCAGAGATGGGCAAATGAGAGGGGAGATTTCAAGAGGCGAATGAGTTTCGAGCTGGATGAAAGAAACATTGTAAACATAATGTTGAGAGGAGAAAAGGAATGAAGAAAAGTACACTGTCTGATTTCTGGGGCGATGAAGAAAAATGAGCAGGAGGACAGAGGAGGAAATTCAGCCAGGGATCTGAAATTTATGGTTAATAGTATTTATTAGTTTATGGCCTAACGTCTGAAACATTTCTGGAACATTTCTAAATGTTGTGTGCTATTTCTAAAAGTGCTCAGACTTGTAGTGTCTGTTATCTAACACAAAATATTTAGAAGACAAACGACTACTACAACTAGACTGGAACCTAGATACTAAAATACGCAGACTTATTCTTCTTCTTTCTCTTAATAAGCAATCCTGCTTGTTCATTGTCGGATTAATACCTCTATGGAAGGTTCTCACTCCATCTTTTGCACGGTCATCCAATACTTCTTTTGCCAATTGGTAACTCATCTCTTGCTCTCACGACGATACGGGTTTGCTCATGATATAAGGAAACAAGGTATGCTCACTAGGTGGACTCGTTTTTGCACATTTCTGCGCCGACCAAAATCCACCATCTTTTCAATATGTCACATGCGTGTAGGGATGGTGACCTGATCCCGTACCAGTTACTTTGGAACATGTATTTTATTTATACTTGTGGAACTGATCCCTAACACCAATATATTGCATTTGTCCTTAATTTTTATCGTGCATTTCTCAATGTTTACAAAGCTTTAGATAAATATCAAGAGATGACAATTGGCGTGAAGTAGACAAAACTATCGCCATTTTTTTATGAACTTTTTATACAATCTCTGAATAACAGTTATTTAAGTATTCGAAGTTAAAAGGTCATTTAAATAACTATAAAGAAATCTAACAAAATACAAATAATGTTGTCGTTATGTTTAGATATCTATTAAACGAATGATAACAAACTGATTTCCAAACCAGTATTTTTTAACAGGTATATTTGTTTACGCGTATCAGTTTGACCTGATACACAAAAATACTTGGATCAAACACCTCTACATGCTTGACCTCTGCTTTGTTTTGCATTTTTTTAACCTTACTTTGCAATGTATTGGAATTTAAAAGTAAATTTGTTTCGATTTTTTTTAAATTATTTTAGCAAGAGTCTGTTCAGATCATTTTAAATCTGAATTAATTGGATTAATGTAGAATATTAATTTTATTTTATTTAATTTAGCTACGATATTTTTTATCAAATTTGTACATATTTGAATTGCCGCCTTCAAAATGGCGGATTTTGGTCGTAAACGCGATTGGCTGTTCAAAATAGATGCGCGTGAGCATACCATGTTTCCTTATATCATGGGTTTGCTCCATTCTGCTTATATGTTTCTTTCATTCTTTTTTTTTTCTATTTTGTGTCCATTCATTTATACATTGTACGTTACATTTTTTTCTAATGTTTTCACTTCTCTTTCAATCGCTAAGCGTATTTCCTGTAATTCTTCTCAGAACTCTCATCTCCGTAGTTTTCAGTAGCCTTTGCGTTGCAGCCGTGTGGGGTCTTGTTTGTGAGGCAAATGTCATTATTGGTCTTACATTGGCTTTATAATGTAGATTTGCTTATGAATATAAATGCTTGTAAACATAAATGCTTATAAATACCAAATATAAAATTAAGGCATCTAATCAAGCATCTAATAATGATTGTAAACTAATAATTTTCTAAAACCACTAATTTCTATTCGATGTTGACACATAGCACTGCATATCATCCACACACTTTTCGTAAGACGATAAATACGTATTTAGAAGGTGCCAATGACATGTACATGTGAGATGTTCGTTCGTTAACTGATTGCGATATTTTGATGTAACTATTTTTATTGCTAAAAATGCTGCAGACTCGCATAAGTATGTTCATTCGACCGTTCCTATTAACTGAAGAGCTATTTGTTTTAAACATGGATATTTGTCTTGGCATATAAAAGACCAAAATTTGCTATCAGATGCGTTGGTTTTGAGATGTATACCTGAAATTATTTGTAATACTTCATTTTCGACAGAAATGATCTCCATAATGAAGGTTTCGTCATTCTTTAGTATTTTTGAATCAGAGAAGCTCCTTTTAAACTTACTTTGACTATATATAATAATATATATATATATATATATATATATATATATATATATATATATATATATATATATTATATATATATACCTATATATATATATATATATATATATATATATATATATATATATATATATATATATATATATATATAGTCAAAGTGAGTTTAAAAGGAGCTTCTCTGATTATATATATATATATATATATATATATATATATATATATATATATATATATATATATAATAGTATATTCAAATAGTTTCATTCTAGTAATGTCGATATTAATTTTATTTTTACCTTGCAGCTCAAGGTTAACAATATTTAAGTTATTCGCCACATTCGATAAGAAAGCTAAATCACGAAGCTATTTTTCTTCCAAGTATCGCAGTATTGTCGTCTCAGTGACGTAAAAAAATGATTTTATGTAGCAGTTTTTTGAATACGTTCTAAAAAACTGCTTTAAGAGGGATCATACACCTTACGTCTCTGTGATTAAATCAAAGCTTCCAATTGCATTTTAAAACATTGCCACGATCTTTGTGGTCATGTCTGTTACATCACTCATAGTAAGTATTTTTGAACAGATAACTTGTGTTGGTGATGATGACAATGGAATAAAAAAAAACGATGGGAAATCATCGTTAGCTCAACACAAAGCAACAAATCCATTTTTATTGCCAGTCGTGGATGGTGCTTTATCTGACAGAATGCTTCGTAGCTGCAGCTTATTATATATGAAACAGACATTCGACAAGAATCGATTGGTTAAATGTAGCGCAATCATTTGGCCAAGAAGTCTGGAATATTTCCACCAGAAACTGATTAGTTTTGAATTATTCCGCAGTCGATTACAGAAGCTGTCGTGATCGCCAGGTTGATCGCTATCGTCTGATCCGACACCACTGCTCTATAGTATTAACTCAATTTAACGACTAATTTATTACATAAGATTTTGTATTTTTTAAATTTATTGGCCGGTTCATATATACATAATTTCCGAAATATCAAAAATTAATGGGAAAATCCCAGTAGTTGGCTGTATAACATCGTTTAAACAAACACAGAAGTTAAAACACTTCACACCTCAAATTATGACTAGCAATTCACTATGTATATGACTAGGATCACTCTGTATATAGGTATTATTTGGTCCATTTTTATAGAGGCACAGAATCTGGTACAGAGTATACAAGAGTTTCGATATAAAGTACCAATCACCTAATAAAAATATAGCAATGATCAACGTGAGACCATTAATTGAACAATCCCAAAGTTGTTCACTAACATTTATAATAACTCCCTTAAAAAATTCTATATAAAGTATTTGTTTTCAGAACAGACATGCTGAGAAACCAGATCGCCATTACCCAGACTTTTCCTGATAAACGACTCAATGGTCAGTACGAATTCGAAGGTACTATTCTCGGCAGGAAGATAAATAATAAAGGTGCATGGAACTTAGCACTTTTTGATTACGTACAAACATTAACGGTTAATAGAAAACCTGCAGGTCCATCAGCACCCCTAGAGTATCCTCCAATCAAAGTAAAATGTAATTTGGAAACTTGTAAAAATCTGGAACTACACATTAGTAATCTTGCCGGAGGACGATCATTTGTAGGTAAGATAAAATCAAAATAGAATTCTTTTTTTTTTATTTAATAAAAAACATCCGATAAAAATATTAATAACGACTAAATAATAAATAAGGCTTAGAACTGATAAGTGAAGGGTTAAGGGAAAAAGCAAGGAATGACAGGTTATCTTTGTTTTGAGAAAATAGGAAATTATATTTAATGTCTGTGACTACATATCTTTAAACCATTGCATTGAAGAAATAGTATTTATTTTTATTTAGTAAACTAAAAGTGCATTGTATTAAATACATAAGCACATTTTAACCAAATTATGTGATAACTACAGTACAGTACAGATAATAATTTTTACAGTAACATATCACAAAATTGATATGCGTTACTGTAAAACTTTAGTTTGGATTCCTTAAATGATTATTATTTAAGAAACAAATACCTCTTTACAGATAATGTTAAAACTAATTACATTTTTGTTTTTATTTTTTTAGAAAGTATGCTTGATCGAGTAATTAATACCGCTTGGCAACCTGGATTTGTTGTCTTAGCACCAATTATCAACGAATTAGTTGGAACTGCCTTTACAGAAATCTTCAATAAAAATTTCCAAGCATTTCCATTCTCCAAAGTATTTGACCCAGAGCTTCAACGGCTTCAGAAAAATCAACAACAGACTCAGCAATCACAACAGCAACCTCAACAACAACCACAGCCACAAGTTCAAACGCAACAGCCACTACAACAGCAGCAGCCCCAGCAACCACAGCAGCAACCCGAGCAACAACCACAGCAGCAGCCCCAGCAACAACCACAGCAGCAGCCACAGCAACAGCCAGAATTACAACCGCAGGCACAACTGCCTCAACTACAAGTAATAGCTTAAATAGTACGAGATATTATTTATTTGAAAGATTAAGAAATGAAGTGATCTTTAAAGATTTTTTTATAAAAGATATACATAGTGTACATAAAAGTATAGTATAAGTTTGTTTTTTAATAAAAAGTAATAAACCCTATTAAGGTATTATAGATTACAACATATTGTACGTACCTTTCTGGTGTTAAGTTTAGAAAAAACTAAAAACAATAAACTAAATAGATCATGGACTTTATTGTTAATGTAGTATGTTTTCATAAATCGAATTAATATAGTATGTCTCTTTTTTTTTGTATGAGTCCACTGGTAATGTAAAATAACTACTACAAAGTATTATAATATTTCTTAAGTGTCAACATCTTAAGTTGACCATTTATTCCCGTGAACCAGTGCTTCTCGACGTGTAGTCCGCGGATCGTTGAGGGTCCGAGAACATGTATTAGGGGATCTATGGTATTATCTGTTGACAACGCCCGCGCCTCTGCACCACACTTGACCAAGACTTAAGGCCGTATGACACTATGCACTTTCTTGTATCATTTCTTATATCGTTTCTGACATAACATGGATAGTGTCATACAAGCGTATAGTTTCTTATATCAGAAACGATACAAGAATTTGTGTTCGCTGCATTTTCTTGTACAAGAAATGCTATAATTTGTGCGCAAAGCCGCAAAAACGTAAAACTTCTGTCATATTGGCAGCTGGAGGAGAACTTTGATATACAATTAGGCCAAAAGCAAATATCAGAGAAAAGTGCCCACCAACAATAACCAAGATTAGAACATCAGTAGGCAAATTGAAAAACAATAAATCACAGGGAGATTGGATCAAATAGCATCGGAACTACTGAAAGTAGGAGGAGATGTTTTAGTAAAAACAATACATAACCGGTCTAAGAATTCGTGATGAGTTTAAAGATTATTTTATATCTCCAAATAAGAGAGTAGAATTTCAAGAGCATGCCATTCAAACAAATAATTAAAAAAAACAAATAAATTATTAAAACCAAATTATTTATTATTTCTGTCTTCCATTACAGCCTGTTAAATATCTTCAAAAATTGTGGTTTCCAATTAAGTTCCAATATTGGGACATTTTATTTCTTTCATTTTTTTTTTCATTCGTTTCTTTTTCTGGGGTCCTCAGGTACTGCAGTTCTATTTTTAAAGGTGTTAAAATTTCGACCAATCATGTGCCAGATCACATACAATTTCTGGAAAAAGAACTTGCATAGTGTCATACAGGGCAAAAATGTACGTGCAAGAAACGATAAAAGAAAACATAAATAACTTTCTATATCAGAAACGATATAAGAAATGATACAAGAAAATGCATAGTGTCATACGGCCTTTACACTTGAGCTGATTTATTATTCGTGTGTTAAAATTTTATTACGCGTTTTCACATTGTTTTGTTCTGTATTGCATTACAGTGTAGAATACTTTATAGATATTACTTTTTTAATGTAATTGCGTCAATGAAACGCTGGTTAAAGTCAAATAATTACGCTTAAGATGAAAGAAATGAAAGAACATCGACTTCAAATGTTAATAAAGGTTGTAAGTTTTCTGACGAATAGTTACTTTTCAATTTAACATCTATTACTTTAAACGAAAGACCTCAGTGCGTCATGTGCTACTAAGTTTTGTCGAATGAGTAGATGAAACCGGCCAAACTACGACGTCATTTAGAAACAAAACATCAAGACCTTCGTAAGAAATCTCAATCATTTTTCAAATTCAATGCCTCAGGATTAGAACCAATTAAGACTACTGGGGCCAATAACAAAAACTCGTCTTGGCGTTTTACTAAGTTTCCTTAGTAGTTGCAAAAAGTGGTAGTCCTCAAGTCCTCTCACTATTGCTGAAGAATTAATACTACCATGCGCTAAAATGATGATTTTCGCTATGTTGGGAGAAAAAAACTTCAAAAGAATTGGACGTTATATCGCTATTCAACAGTACATGAAGAATAGAATTGTTGATATATCAGGAAATGTTAAAGAGCAATTGATTTTAAATGGTTCAAGCAAGCAGAATTTATGCTTTGAGGATTGAGAATTTTGTGTCCTGTAGACCTCTGCCTTCACATACTACAGGTGAAGCAATATTTGAAGCTTCCGGGTTGAACCACGTCGATATCCATTGAGCCGAGCTTTCGACATCCTCTCTGATGTCTTCTTCAGGGCTTCCGAGGTATCACTCTCCCGAGTCCCCAGACACTACTACACTTATCACTAGTCACTTCACTACTGGAACTGGGAACAGGGGACGGTTCATTTATACCGTCGATGATGACGTGGCCTAGGTAGGGGTTAGGGTGGGGATTGGCGCAAGAGTTGGCGCGAACATTTCCGACAGTGGGATTTTGGTTCGAGGATGGAAGGGGCGATATTTTCTTTATGAGAGGTCTTCATGTAGAAGGTAACCGTACGGCGTCATCTCTTTTATTAAGACAATTTGGCCTTTTTTCTATTTCTATGGCTTCTCGGATAATTCTTGGCTTATAGAAGCGAATGGGGGCTATGGTTCTAGAGTTTTCGAAATCAATTTTGTGACCTGTATGAGGATGGTGTTGACCTAGAGCTGAAATTGAATCGGAATTGCGAACAAAAATGGAATGTTCATAAATCCTATTTTGGATCATACAATTTGTTTGGCCTATATAGGATCGGGGACAGTCTGAACAAGGAATTTCATAAACTTCATGGATGAATAATACATCAGAGAGGATGTCGAAAGCTGGGGCCAATGGATATCGACGCGGTTCAATCCGGAAGACTGGTGAGTTTAATATTAATTTTTATAATAGTATAAATCTTAGCTCTAGGTTTAATTGTACTTACCGCGGAAATCTTTCCGAACATATATATATATATATATATATATATATATATATATATATATATATAGATCAGTTTAAAACGTTCTCCTACGTCTTCCGATACCCAGTTGAGACTCCTCTCGATTCATCCATAAGTCTTCTTTTATATCTGTGTTTTATTTCTCTGTTATTATTAGAGATTGATTGATCCCAAAGGATACTATTGAGAAGGGAAATTGCTCTTATTGCTTGGTTGTTTTTCTCCTCAATTGTGTCGTCTACTTTGCCTTCTTTTGTGATAATCATACCTAAATATTTATATGTGTTGCAATGTTTGATAACTTCGATAACTTCTCCATCTTCCAACATGAGGTTCTGTTGTTTCCCACCGATACACATACACTCGGTTTTTTGGATATTTATTTCAAGTCCCTTCTTTATATCCCATTTTTTATACTCCTCGATTAGTTTTCGAGTCATATACTCAATATTTTTATAATCTTGTGCTATCACTAATTGATCATCTGCAAATGATAAAGGGTATATGCTATTGTTGTTAATCCTCATTCCTATTTTTCTACATTTGCGCTTTTACAGTCTTAGACCCTGTTCTAGATAAATTTTAAACAATGTCGGGGAGAGACAGCAGCCCTGCTTAAGGCCTTTATTCATTTGGAATTCACTCGACAGATTATTTCCAACCTTTACCTTTGAGTTAGAATTAGCGTGCAGTTCTTTCGTCGCATTTATTAAATTCATGCTTATATTTATTGTCTCTAAAGCTTCCTATAATTTTTAATGTAGTACGCTATCATATGCCTTTCGTAGGTATATAACTTTAAATTCACGCATACGGATGGTGCTCCGGCTGTGACCGGTACACGAACAGGACTTAAGCGCGCGTGAAGAAGAAACATCGATCTATCTGGCATCATTGTTGCATTTATAGAAAAACATTCGCTACTAAAATTATGCCTGATAAATTAAAGATAGAGTTCGACGAGATATTGCATTAAATAAATAAGCATTAAAGCCAGACCTCTAAATTCCCGTATATTCGGTATAATATGTGAAGACATGGGAAGCTTTCACAAGCAGTTGTTATTGCTTGCAAAGTCGTGTCGCATGTTCTCGAGCTGCGAAATGAGAAGATATTGTCTTGTTCAAGAATTCAGCGGGCGCGGAAATAAACATGCTTATAATTGTAATAAGTGTTTTTCCTCTTTTATTTCTATATCCTAATCTATAATTACAAACACATACATTGCTAATTAGTATTCAAAATGTATAGGTTATACTTAAACTCCAAATTCGCACAATGTCCGAAATTTTTACTCACTTCGCAATGTGGGTAACGTGAATTACCCACGTCGTGGAGTGAGCATTTTATTCGGACATTAAAGTAAACGAAATTACTCAATTGCCGAAATAAACACGTTCACCAGAGATTGAGCAAATCCATAATATACATAACTCAACGTGGATAACATATTTTACCCACGTCGGTTGTGGGTATTTCTAATTTGTGCAAACGCGGAAATCCATATTTCACGGTTCAGACGTGCAAGTCGAGACATGTCACCCCCACTATCCTCATTGTTAGCAACGAATAGGTCTACTACTGTCTATTTTCATTGACATTAGTGCACTGTCGTTATACACAAGCAGTTATGTTTTTCTTTGTTCTGTGCATAAGTGGTGTGTGTTCACTTATTTTAAAGTGCTGTTGTGATTTGTGATTTTGTTTGAAACGAAAGAATCATTTAACACCAAATTGAAAGACATGATGTCCAAGAAGGATGGTCTCACAAGTCAAAATCTTATTATCGAGTAGCCACGCTATAAAGCAATTATCAGCGCAGTAAAGGAGGCAAAAGAGAAAAGGAAAAATCGTCAGTCCTTAATGTCTAAAGATTATTACCGGTTCAATCAGTTTGATGTCATAAACATTGGCGATAAAGAAATGTTCGAATCATTAAATTCCCGTTTGACAACCGACGTCGTAAAAAATAACTACTGGGGAAGAACTCGAAGAAGAGTTCTATAAGCTTAAAATAAGTTTTAATGAACAAGAGAACGAAAAACTAATGCTGTGGATGAAGATGCTTCGGAGATTTTCACAAGAAATGTAGAAAACAATAAATACGTAGAAAAAGAAACTATGTCCAGCGAGAACTTAGCACTCTGTGATATTGATAGTGACAAAGAAAACAGCTGTTTTAAATGTGGTCAGCACATTCATCATAATGAAATTTCAAATAACGAAGACTTAGACTTACCTTTGTACGTTCTTTGCTCAAGAAAATCTGCCAGAGATACAATACGAGAAAACTGTGTAACTGCAATAAAAAATCAGGCAGCCAAAATGTTAAAGCTTACTGAACGAAAGTTAATTCCAGTTTCAATTGGCGATAACGTTTTGGTAAATATTCCTGATGTCGACCGGGGCCAACTAGCTTCAAGAAATGTAATGGCTGTTGTAATAAATATGAAAAATCATACCTATACCTTTGGTATAAAGCGTGGAAATCTTGACAAACAGTTTTCTAGAAAACCGTTGCACGAAGCTCCTAATTAATTTATTAATAACATCAAAGGAACCTGATGAACAGCTTAATGTCCGTATAGAAGCAATGATGTCATCCGGGTCCAAACGAGTTTTCATCGGATGTGGATGCAAGAAGAATTGTTCGAGCAAATCTTCTTCTTCTTCTACGGTCCAAATCTAGAGCCCAAATTGAGCCTTGGCCTCCTTTATTTTTTGCCTTCAGCCTTGCTTTCTGTGGCTGATCTTCCCATACAAGGACTGCTAGAAGGGCTTGTGCGTCGCTGTTTACTGTGTCTTCCCAGCACTTTCTTGACTTTTCAACCGGTCTCTTTCCCTGTATTCTCGCATTCAGTGCTCTCTTTAGTAGCCTATCTTCTCCCATTCTTTATCACATGTCCGGCCCATTGCAATCTTTGTTGTACTCTAATGAAGTCTGACAGTGGAGCTTCCTTATAAAGTTGATAAAGCTCGTTATACCGACTTCTGAAGATTCCGTTTTCCCCTATAGGTTTACTAGTACTTTCCTTTCGAATGAGCAGAGTTTGCTTTTGGATGTTTCTTGCAGTACCCATTATTTACTGCCATAACACGCTATTGGCCGAATTAAGGTTTTATAGATTCTCATCTTTGTATTTCGGTGGAAACTTTTAGACCGAAATATATGGGAGAGGGCAAATTTGCCTGCGTTATTCTCTTCCGTATTTCTCCATCTTCCGATCCATCGGCATATATTTTTATTCCCAGGTATCTAAACTTTCCAACCGTTTCAATGTCATCTTCATGTTTAATGTTTTGTGAGACTACATTTCTTCTCTTCTGTATCATTATTTTTGTTTTTTCTGTGTTAATTTCCAGACCTAGCCTTTTTGTTTGCGTTTTTAACTCTGCGTATGTTTCCTGTGCTCCTGTTGATGTTCTACTCATAATATTAATATCATTCGCATAGACGGCCAGTTGAACCGTTCGGTTGGTCAGTAGGTTTCCTCGTCCAGTTTGTATTTGACTAACCGCATACTTCATTGTCAGGTTAAACAAAGTTGTGGCCAGCCCATCTTCCTGCTTTAGTCCATGCAGAATTTTGAAAAAGTCTGTCCAGTGGTTTTGTATTCATACAAAGTTCGAGTTTCATCCATTGTGGCTTTAATGAGTGTAATTAGCTTGTGTGGTATTGCCAATTCAGCCAATATATTGTAGAGTTTGTTTCTTTTGGCTGAGTCGTATGCCTATTTGAAGTCTACACACGTTGTGAACATCAATGTCGTGTTCCCATGATTTACTTAAGATCTGTTGTGACTGTTAATATTTGATCCAGTGTCGATCTTCCTCGTCGGAAACCCGTTTAATACTCTCCAATAATATTTTCTGCCAGTAGTTGGAGTATATTGACTTTATCTGCTGTATTCGGGTATTTTCTCTTTATCGTCGGGTATTTTCTCTTTTTGTCGTATGTCTTTGATGAGCGCGTGGATGTGACTTGCTAGGTGGTCGCCACCTATCTTATACAATTCTGCTGGGGCTCGTTAACTATGGAGTGCAGTTCTAGTGTCATAAGCTCATTTGCGACTTCTTTGAATTTCTCTTTACATTCCTGAATCTTCCAGGTCCAGTTTGTTTGTTCTTTGTTGTCTTTCGTTTCTTTCTTTGTTAACTCTGCATCTAAATTTGGTTTGGAGTAAAAGATGGTCTGATGCACAGCATGCTCCTCGTCGTGATCCTCCTGAGATACTACTTGCTGCCCTTTTGTCTATCAGCACATGGTCGATTTGATTGGTTGTGGTTTCACTTGGTGAAATTCATGTCATTTTCTGTATGTCTTTATGTGAGAAGCATGTGGAACTTATAACCATATTGTTACTGATGGCAAAATTTACCAAAAACTCCCCATTCTTGTTTGTTTCATTGTGCAGTGGGTGTTTTCCTGTTGTGCCATAGAACTGCAGCTCCTTGCCTATTTTAGCAATCATATTACCCATTATAATCTTGATGTCATTTTTGGACGCATTGTCATATACTCTATCCAGCTGTTGGTAGAAGCCTACCTTTATATGTTGCTCTTGTTCTTCTGTTGGGCAGTGAATGTTTATTATTGTTATGTTAAAGAAGGAAGTGCAAATTCTTAACTTGTATATCCCTTTACTGACTGCCTGGAAGTCTATGATTTTTTATTTAAAATCATTATCCACTACAAATGCAACTCTACATTCTTTGCTTCCATTGTTCCTTCTCTTTGTTCCTTTGGGCACATCTCGCCAATATATAAAATCAAACATAAAATGCAATTCTAAATGTCACAGTAGCACTTCTTGTGCTAACAAGTAAAGTAAATATTTTCTGAAAAGAACTGTAATAAACATTGACAGTGGTACATGTATGAAAAAGACTCATATAAAAGACGTATATGTATGTATGAAAACGTGTAATATGTTGTTTTCTATTTCCAATAATAACATACTTGTATTTTAGTGTGTAGTTTTTTTTTAATGAAAATAAATGAAATTTTAAGGAAAATTTGATTTTATTTTACCTGTTCGGAGGCATGGAGGCGTTATAGATTACCCACGTCGGGTTATGGATATTATGGTTTTGCTCAATCTCCGGTGAACGTGGAAGTGAGTAAAAATTTCGGACATTGTCCGAATTCGAAGTTTGAGTGTAACATATATACATAAATTCAGAATCCTAATTGAAAGGGACGAAATCAGCGGACTATGTGGTTTAAAACTAGTCACAATAAAATATTCAACTAATTTATAAATTTGTTTAGAGAATGTTCTGAAAATTTAAATTCATATTTACATATCACCGTAAACAGTTATGTGTTATAGCAGGAAAAGCTTAATAAGCATTACGACTTACACTATATAGCTCTTCATTATTTTATATTATTATCTTTAAGATCAATACGATCATTAACGGTGGTTTACTGTTTCAGTTAACTAGAATTTGAGATTGATTCATTAGTAGTAGGTTTCTTAGTAAAGAGATATTTGCAACAATTCATAAATTCAAAATATTATATAAGCAATAAATTCCTAAAAATGATCCACGTTATTTATTTTTTTATTGTTAGGAAAATGTTTCCTAATAGTTTGACTTCATTTCGGCTCCGGTACACCGATTACATTAAACATACGACACATCCGCTACAACGGCGGGAAACCCAAAGCGCTAGGTCAAAGTCAAATCGTTGACCTACCCCGGTATCTAGAAAAGAGAGAGTAGAGTTCCATATTCCTTCACAATCAAATTTTATAAACATAATCTTCACTTTCTTCGTCGCGATTGTGATTCAGTCGAAAATAAAGTGTGCCATGGAGGTAAAAACCGTTATTTCATTTATTTTTTGTTTCTTTTTTGTCCGAATTATCGCAGAAAATACTGAGGCAGAATTGGAAGATGAAGATGATGGAATATGGGCACCGCTTCTGGTGAAATGGGCTACTAGAAAATGCGAAGCCGGAAGTCATAGGTAAAGTTTAAATTTAAAATTAAATTACATTTTAATTTTAATTTTGCGTGAGCATTATTTTCAATGTAGCTAGAATTATCGAGCAATTTCTTGGAGGTTTATGATCATTATCTGACCCTAAATAATATATTATTCGCTTAAAAATCACAAAAAGAGCAAAGTCATTTCATAAGCTTTACAAACATGAGAATGCATGGCTGAATGCTGGGTTCGTTTATTTTCTTAAACTCAAAGTTCATTAATAACACTATCAATTTTCTTCCTTCTCATAAAACATGGATGAATATTTTGATCATAGTATTACCCACATAACTTCTTTGTATATCGGGCATTTAGGTCGTGGCTCTTTTTTCTGACTTTAAATCACATCATAGAACTTAACCTTTTAGACCTGACTTTTTCTCTTCAGAAAAAAAATATTTTTCTATTGAATCTTCTTAATGGAATATTGTAAGCTAAAATCATATTTTTGAGATTTTTGTTTAACAGGTAGTCGTTTGACAGAATGTCAATTGCAATGGACTTTATGACTATTACGAATTTAGGAAAATAATCACATACGATATTTTTATTAAATATAGTAGATAGATAGATAGAATTTATTCATCCACAAAGTTTACACAATTCTTACAAAAAATGTGTAAATCTTATCGGACGAGTCAAAATTTAGTACAAAAGAGTACATAGCAAAAGTAGACATGAATAAAATAAAACAGTGATTACAATAAAATAAATAAGAAATAAAAGTTACAAATACAAGTTACAAATACAAATTTGGAACTATTGTTGCAAAAATGTTAAAAATCACATCAACACTGTAGAATGTATTGTCCATTAAAAATGAATACACAGTTTGGCGAAAACCTTTATGTGAAGAATTACTGAGAGTTAATATATTGACTATTTTATTGTAACATTTTATTCCAATATATTCAGGTGCATGTTGGGATACACCTAATCTAGAGAAAGGTTGTCGAAAATTTGATTTACCCCTAGTATCATATGAGTGAATGTCCTCATTTCTGTCAAACTTGAGCTTGTTATAATGTTTTTTATTTATTTCTAATTTATTGTCTTTATTCTAATTTATTAAAACTCACGATAATTTATCAAAAGTCTCTATTTTATACTAATTTATTTTACACTTGATAATTACAAATAATTTATTTGCGTTCGTTACAATTTAACGCGAGATCGCGACCTTCTTTTTAACTGCCTGCTCAATGAAAATCTTTCGTTATTTATATGAAACCAGCTGGTAAACAGAATGTTGTAGAAAATACGATGCCGTTCTCGACGTAGACACAGCGGCAATGATCTCAAAACTGGTATGTTTTTCATCGGCTCGTCCCCAGAAAGTTCGATTGTTGTTTCATTTTTAGCGAAGGGGCCCAAAGGGTGTCAGGTAGATTTTTGACCTAGAAATTACGAGAATCAATAAAAAGAATTAGTCATAAAATATTTAAGGTTCTATACGCCATAACATTTAAAATCGTAACATTGTGTTCCTCAATGTGCAGTATAAATTGGAAAATTAAAAGGCTAGGTAGTGTTAAAATATTAGACTTCTTAAATAGTGGCTTGCAACTATCTGAAAATGGAACACCATACATACTTCTTAGAACTTTCTTTTGAGCTATAAATGCCCGTTCAAAATGAGATGAGCAACCCCAAAATATTAAGCCATACTGAAGTACAGACTGGACTAAACTAAAGTAAATCATTCGCAATATATCAAATGAGACAGTTTCTCTTAAATTACGCATTATATAGCTATATGTACTTAACTTTGCTGATACATGATTTATATGAGTTTCCCATCTAAGTTTATGATCTAGGGTTACCCCCAAAAATTTCGTTGTAGTTCGATTGATTTGCCATCCACATGTAAATAAAAGTCAGAATTTGGAGTTAAGTTTTTTGGTAAGAAACGCATAAAATGTGTTTTTGATACGTTGAGCTTGAGTCCATTATTTTTACAATATGTGCTAAATTCAGCAGACACAACATTGGTATTTTCCACCAGTTGTATGGGTTCACTGTAAGACATGAGAATATTGGTATCATCAGCATACTGAACAATTTTATCTGGCATTGAACAAAACGTGTTTAGGTCACTTACAAATATAATGAAAAATAAAGGCCCAAGTATTGAGCCTTGAGGTACACCCATCGTACATTGAAGTGGCCTCGACGTTACATTTTCCACTGTGACTACTTGAGTTCTATTACTTGATAAAATAGGGCCCAATTGTATGGTATACTACGTACTCTAATACCCTGCAATTTTTGTAGTAAAAGTTCATGATCAACCGTATCAAATGCACGACTAAGCTCATAAAAAAGACCCAACACATTTAATTTATCATTTAATGCTTTATAAATAAATTGAAGACAGTTAGAAATAGCAGTATTTGTAGATTTCTTTTTTTTTAAACCTGTTTTGAATAACAGGAAGAATTTTAAAATGTTCTAAATAATCTGTTAATCTATTTGCATAGGCTGCTTCAAATATTTTAGAGAACTGACTTGACACACAAATCAGCCTATAGAATGCAATATTCGTTGCAGATCTTTTATTTTTAAAAATAGGGATTCCTTTCGATTCCGTTATATCTGGAAATATTCCGCATGTAAATGATTCATTTATAAGATAAGATAGTGGTAAAGCCATATAAGTGGCAACATGTTTCAAAGCTTTTCTATCAATTTCGTCTGCAGCTGTTTTAGAAGCAGTTTTTAATACAATAGATATAACTTCTTTTTCAGTGGTTGGTGATAAAAAGAAACTTGAATTGAATTGGTCAATTTGTGTGGTACGGTTAACAACTGATAGTTCATGATTTTTTACAGCATTAATAAAATAATTGTTGATTTGATCAGCTTTATGATAATTTTGTCACCATTGTTACTAAAAGATATTAAATTTTGATTTGATTGACAGTTTTTACGTCTATTTTTATTAATTATTTTCCAACTTTCCTTCATTACATTATTGCTATTTCTAAATTGATTATCATATTGTTCATTTTTATGTTTTTTAACAATTGTTTGATATTCTTGTTTAAATTTCTTGTATCGTTCCGAATACTCTGGGTTATTAAGTTGTTTTCTTAATCCATCCATCTGACACAATTGATCATGCAAACCGTTAATATGAGGTGCAAACCACGTTTTTTGTTTTGATCTGGTAGTTACTCTACGTTTTAAGAAAATAGTATTATAATAATATAATAAAGTATCAAAAACTATTGAAAATTTTTCTTCAAAACTACTAGCCACATATAGATCACTATATTTTGAAAAGTTATTAAGTTGGTATCGCATAAGTTTCTGGTAAAAACAGTTTGAGGATTTTTTCCAGTATTTCCAGTATATTAAAATCTCCACATATAACGTAAAAATCATTATTGTTATAAATACTCTGCAAAAATAGTTCTAACTTCGTAACAAATGTATTAAAATTCACACTATAAGGAGGTCTGTACATAGTTACAATAAATAAATATTTTTACTTCCATGAACATTAAATTTTACTCCACATATTTCAACTTTGCTTTCGATACACCATTGTCCAGAGTATATTTGTATTAAGCAAATGTTGAGTTAATTTAAATGAAAATATTTGAAACCATTTTTGTTCTGTACAAAACATAAATGTACATTACATTTTTCACAAAAAAATGCGTTTTCCCTTTACACCCAACATTTTTACATATGGATATTTCCTTTTTGTTGTCATACCCGGGTAAATGATCTATTTTATCCATCCTTGTTTCCTTCAATGGTCTGATTTTTACTCTGGGTCTTTTTGGAGTCTGCGGAGAATTCTCATTTGACATTTTGGGACGACCAAAGCTTCTTTTTATTGGTTTTCCCACTTTAATTAGCGTCCCAGCAATTTGTATTTTAAAATCTAACAAATCCATTTGATCTTTGGAAGGTAAACTAAGCTGCTCCCCTTTATAGTCTAGCCTATTGGCACAAGCAAAATCGAGGGCATGAAAGATTAAACGCAATGTCCATTTTGTTGACTTGATAAAGATTCTATAATATAACAATAGGTAAAGAAATAATAAATAAGACTTACTCACAATCAATTTAATTTAACTATCTGACGACCGGTTTCGCTTTCTACAATATGCAAAGCATCCTCAGGTCTCGATACAAAGTTAAACAAATGCTGAAATAATAAAAACCCATATTAGGGTGTTGTCCAATAACGATAAACAAAGTAGATGTTGTAAATTACAATAATTATGCCAATATTACATGTCTGTGGATTTATTTAAATGAGTAAGTTGAATAAAAGGTATAAAAATTTTAAAAGTTTAAACAGACAAGGTAAGGCCCACAAATTGTTATAAAATAGTCTCTTCGATTGTAATAAATTAACAAATGAGCAAATAAATAAATAAAATAAACATTACTTACATGCCGGTACTCTATTAATTGATGTATGGTAGAACATGGTTGAAACTACTATATATTGTTGAATGGAGAACTCAATTCTATTATTGCAGTTGTTTGACAGTAAACGGGAAGTTCTTGAGGATCTCCTCAAGAACTTCCCGTTTACTGTTCCAACCATGTTCTACCATGTTTCAACCATGTTCTACCATCCATCAATTAATAGAGTACCGGCATGTAAGTAATGTTTATTTTATTTATTTATTTGCTCATTTGTTAATTTATTACAATCGAAGAGACTATTTTATAACAATTTGTGGGCCTTACCTTGTCTGTTTAAACTTTTAAAATTTTTATACCTTTTAGTCAACTCACTCATTTAAATAAAACCACAGACATGTAATATTGGCATAATTATTGTAATTTACAACATCTACTTTGTTTATCGTTATTGGACAACACCCTAATATGGGTTTTTATTATTTCAGCATTTGTTTAACTTTGTATCGAGACCTGAGGATGCTTTGCATATTGTAGAAGGCGAAACCGGTCGTCAGATAGTTAAATTAAATTGATTGTGAGTAAGTCTT